TTTTTTTTTGAGACAGAGAGTCTCGCTCTGTTGCCCAGGCTGGAGCGCAGTGGCTCAATCTCGGCTCACTGCAAGCTCCGCCCCCCGGGTTCACGCCATTCTCCTGCCTCAGCCTCCCGAGTACAGCACCAAGTTTTTAATCACCTAATTTCTTTCTTCTCCTAGTGTCTCAAATTTCAGTCCACTGTAAGAAGTTAAAATCAGAACTGTTTCATCTTTCTTGTCTCAAGTTTCAACATACAACTTCCAATTTTTTTGTCATCATGCTGGCATTTACATCCAAATATGAAGTATGGTAATTTTCGTTTCCCTGAGGATAGGTATTCACATCAACACAACAATATGCTGTTCCTAAACTTGTACCTTGGATTGGTTGAAGAGCCTTTGGTCATACTGAACTTCATTGGAAGTCCGAGGATTAGGAACACCGAGAGCAATGACTTCACTGATATCCCGATTTTCATTTCTCTGAAGTTTCGACCTATTTTGAAATACGACATCACTAACTGAAAACTCTTTATAGACAAACTGAGTATGTTCAATAGAAATACAACCAATCTCAGAAGCAAAGGACATGAATATGTCACATTCACATCTTGTGAACGTATATTCCTTGATAATACATAATCAAGTTGGCAGCCCTTATAAAGCATTTCAGATTAGAGGGAAGAGTTTTACAATTAGGATATCCTGTTAGCTCAAAAGAACATCTAACAGATTCGTTGACGTGGAATTCTTTAATATAAGCAATCACCTTACAACCATACTGAGATATAAAATTGCTATGGTCTATATTTACTATCATATGATGGTTTGGGGGTTGGGGAAGTGGATACAATTTAGATGTAGCACAGGAATCATTTTAAATAAGCTAGAAACAGCTCTTTTATCTAACTACATTTAGTAATTTTATCCCATTAGAATTTTGAGGAAAACATGTCAATGACTGAAATAGTTAGTATGATTTTTGACATTCAAATTAATTTGGTTTCCTGGCTGTTTCATTATACATGCAATCTATATCCCAATGAAACCATGGTAACTGTCATTACTTATTTTACTAAAAACTCAGGTCACAAAATGATTTCTACAGGCTATTTGATTTTCATCCAGTTACAATTTTACAGCTTTTCTATGTTGTCAATTCTGATAGCCACACTTTACTGGTTTTGAGGGCCCAATTTATCCACAGAGCCATTGTAACTTTTACAACTTAGGAATTACTAACCAAGACTGTCATTAATTAAACACTTTCACACTTTGCTCCTCCTTCTACATGTACGTTACCCTCAACTCAAGAGTAAGAGTCTCTGCTTCTCTATGACGTCATTTATCCAGGGAGATGAAATATGCCAATTAACACCAGCAGGAATCTTTTTAATGCTTATTTATTTTTATTTTTGAGATACAGTCTCGCTCTCACCCAGGCTGGAGTATAGTGGCACGATCTTGGCTCACTGAATCCTCCGCCTCCAGGGTTCAAATGATTCTCCCACTTCAGCCTCTCGAGTAGCTGGGACTACAGGCATGTGCCACCACACCCAGATAATTTTTGTATTTTTAGTAGAGATGGGGGTTTCACCATGTTGGCCAGGCTGGATGAACTCCTGACCTCAAGTGATTCGCCCGCCTTGGCTTGCCAAAGTGCTGGGATTATAGGTGTGAGCCACCGTGCCCAGCCTCTTTTTTGTGTTTAAAATATGACTTGAAAAATGTATTAGGCTCATGGGATGATCAGAGCATAGAAAACTGTTCCTTTGGGAAGAAAATATTTTATATTTGCATTTAACCCTCACTCAGAATTCTACCTTTGTATTGCAGCATTTCCTCTACTTTTCAGAACTTTAAGTCCTCAGCCTTTGGTGAGCCATAAACTTCCCCAATCCATACTTTATGCCCTCGTATATGTATTTAGTTTGTTCCACACATTTATATTTACTAAAAGTGCTTTGCAAATTTTCTCAAATTATTTTATGGATAGCTCTTTCTGAACTGTAAGTTAAACTTCTGTTAAGAATGAGCTGATTTTCACTTCTTTCAAAACTGCTCTTCTCAATTGCACTAGATGCATATAAAGTACTATGCATGTAAAATGATCTCAGTAAAAGCATGACAGCTTATTTCCTGTCTAAAGAAGCACATAATCCATTTGTCTCACCATTTAAGGTAGGAAAAGAACCGACTATAACAGTCCAAATTTACTACTACATCCTTTTCAAAAATCTGATCTCAATTCTGTTTTCCATATTCCCATCATTCTCAATTCTGACTTAAGTGATGGCAGAAAAGATTAATTCCAAAGACAGTCAACTAGAGCTAAGACAAAGTTAAGTATAAGAAAATTAAGTGCTAATGTATTAAGTTATCAAACTGAAGAAGAAAGGGAGAGAAGCAAAACTGATCTTAGTGGACTAGAAACTCTGCTCTAAAAGGTACAAAAAGGCCACTCTTCATGATTGGTACCTATCTTTTTTTGTGTGAGACGGAGTCTCACTCTGCCCAGGCTGGAGTGCAGTGGCGCCATCTCAGCTCATTGCAAGCTCCGCCTCCCAGGTTCACACCATTCTTCTGCCTCAGTCTCCCGAGCAGCTGGGACTACAGGCGCCCACCATGACCACGCCCGGCTAATTTTTTGTACTTTTAGTAGACATGGGGTTTCACCATGTTAGCCTGGATGGTCTCGATCTCCTGCCCACATCGGCCTCCCAAAGTGCTGGGATTACAGGGGTGAGCCACCGCGCCCAGCCTCCATGATTGGTACGTATCTTAAATAACACCTACCTCTTATCAGGAGCTGCCCTGGAAAGATTCCGGTCATGCTGTCTCTCTTTTCGCCTGTCATGCCGGATTTCATCCCTCTCACGTGCCTCCCCATCCTCTGTTGTGAACAGTTGAAAAGTACTTCACTGTAATATCTATTATATGTGTGCATATGTGTACATGTGTGTATATAATTTTTTAAAAACAGACAGGGTCTCACTCTGTCACTCAGGCTGGAGTGCAGTAGCATGAACATGGTTCACTGCAGCCTCTACCTCCTGGATTCAAGTGATCCTCCTGCCTCATCCTCCCAAGTACCTGGGACCACAGGTGTGTGCCACCATGCCTGGCTAATTTTTTAATGTTTTGTAAAGATGAGGTCCCTCTATGTTGTCGATGCTGGTCTCAAACTCCAGGCTCTAGTGAACTTCCCACCTAGGC